ACTTTTTTAAAAGTGTATTTAATATGAGAAATATTCAAAACTACTATTCTTAAACAGTATTTTAAAATTCTATGTTAAATATTCTCTGCTCAGATAAAAATAATCTCATGAAGTCTTTTTTATGCTTTTATGGTTCTAGCATTCTGAACTCAAAACTAGGCCCAAAAGTTTCTTATTTACTAAAAATATTTGAGCACAGCATTATAAGGTTATTATAATATTCCAATTTTTCCTATCCTTCTAAGAACATAATTTGGTTTAGGCAGAAGGTTATTAAATACTTGAGTGATTTACTATGAAAAATTCTGGACTGTCTTTCACTGGGTTTGTGGAAGAAAAAAAAGGAAAGAAAAGAAAGATCAAAACTAGACTGTTCTTCCACATCCTCTACCATTAATACCAAGAAAACACCAAAAATTAGCTAATCGATGCCCCCATATACCCATATTTTTAGATTGTTTTATTTATTAATATAAGTGCATAATGTTTGCAGGAATTGATTTTAGTAATGATTTACAGTAGAATATCTGGTAAAAAATAATTGATTCACTTTTGGGACTTTGGTTCCTATAGTAATCAAAGTATAGGAATATACTGTAAAAAATTCACTTGAAGTTTTCCACTCATACTCTGTAGTAGCAAATTGAATGCTTCTTGTTATCATCCATAACTTAACTGTCAGGATTTTCTAGGGTTGTAATAGAAAACCAGTGATTTCAGAAAGTCATTAAATAACTATTAGAGAAAGTAAATAGTGTTAATAAAATGTGAACTCAGAACTTTCTGATTATTTTCTTAAACTCTCAGTTTTGCACTTTTTAGATTAGAAGAAATTTTTAGACTTGATTGATGCCCTTTTTACAAATCAGAACATATTATAGTTCTTATCTGCTTATTCTAAATTTATGATGGACATACTTGACTATATGATAAAATAAGATACATCATATCTTACTTCCAAAAGCTACCTTTTGTAAACGAGACTTAGAGATTTAGAATGAAATGCAAGGCCATGTCAATATATATCTTACCTTCTAAAAGCTCTCTTGTAGCCTTCTGTTTAGAACCTCTTTTGGCTTTTAGGTTATTTAAAATGTTCAATGTTTACTCATTCACTAAACTAATTATATAGGTATAATGTATTTTATATAGGCACTATACAAAGCACAGAGCTGGAATGATAAACCTGACAATATATATGTGTATATTTCTCTATTCATTCAACAAATATTTATGGAGCATCTACTGTATGCAAGGTACAATATCAGGAACTTCTTGATACAAGGGTGAACAAAACAGACACAGTCCCTGCACCATTTATAGTCTAGAAAGTAAGACATTAATTAGATAATCATACAAATGAATGCAGAATTATCACTATGAAAAATGCTATGAAGGACAGATGAACAGTGCTATCAAAGGTCAAAAGGGGATTTGAGTAGTCTTTGGAGAGATGAAACAAGGGCTGAAAGACTTCTCTAAGAAACTGACTTTTGAATTGAGAGGCAAATGATTATTGGAAATTATGTAGTTGAAGAGGAGGATGTGAGAAAGTTCCGTAAAGCAGAGATAACATATAATAAATCTTGTACTGTAGAGAGTGTGAGTTACTTGAAATGAAAGGAGGTGGTGTGGCCGGAACACAGGGAGCAAGGAGGAGTGAGATGCAAGATAAGGCAGGAGGGTGATGGCAGGTGCCAGGCCAGTCAGGGCCTTTTAAACTTGAAGTCTTTTTCTCCAGAGCAATGGGAAGGCTTTGAGAAATGGTAAGCAGTGTGGGGATGGGAGAAAAGGGCATGAAAGGGTAAGATTTGTTTTCCCAAAAGATTGGTAATAGAAGGGACTGAAGAGGGAAAAGTGTGAATGAGGGAGATCAGTTAGAGGCTATTGGAGTATTCCTGGACAAAAAAGCTTGCATTAGGGGAGTGACAGTAGAAATGGAGAAATTACGTTATGAGCGTATACCACACAAAGGATCTATCCTTTGAGGGATTTTTATTATTCTCTGAGCAAAAGTTTCCAATTGGAGATCTAAAGAAGTATAATTTGTTGCCTCTCCTGGCAGTTATCCCACTATCCTCCTGTTCCACTTGTAAGCTTGCAATTTCAAAAGTTCAGTGATAATTATATTATTGGTACTTATTGATAGTTGTCTTGATAATAGGATAGTACTTGATGGTGACCCATGACATCCTCCGTTTCTGGGGTCGCCGGGGTGTACCTACAACTTGATGTGAACACTAAACCCTCTCTTACTGAAATGTTATTTTCCCTCCTGAGTTTTCTCCTCCTCTTCCTATTATTATTATAGCTTTTTTTTTTTAAGAATGTGATGTAATGATGGTGTCATGGTATCTTATATTGGTTTATCAATGATATATTTAAGTTCTTGTTTTCCTTAATGCTTAATTACTAGATAGCCTATTATCTCCTGAGGAAAAAGCTTTAGGTTATAGAGTTACATGAGCAGGGTTGTTGTCTTCCAAATTCCCTCATTTTTCTCTTGTTGTGCTTTTCATTGAAGTTGATTGATTACTCTCTCTTTAGTGTAAAACACTGTGGAAAATAAGTGAATTTATCAGTGATTTGTAATAACTCTTTACAGTAACCTCATCAGTTATTTATAAAAGTGGTTTATGTACCAAATGAGCTTTGGTGAGAATAATGTGCTTTACACATTGATTAGTTATGAAATAAACAGATTTCACATCTTTGAATTTCAGTACATTTCCCCATTAATTTAGCATAAATTTTGATGACGTTTTGCAAGGACCCTTAATAGCTAGAGAGTGTTAGAAGTCATGAAGGAAGAATTGCAGCTGGAAACTAATATTAAAGTTTAAAAAAAAAAGAAAACTTTTTTTCCCCAATAATGTGTCAGTCACTTTAGAAAGTTGAAAATACAACATTCAGTGAACAAATGGCACATTTTCTATTTATCTTTAACCCCACCTATAAGCCTCTAGCCAATTCAAAAGCTGTGTCCTGTCCATCAGTAAAGAGATGGTGGCTCACCTTCTTTAGGGCTAACTCTTCTGTGGGGAGGGGAATAAGGGCTCATTAACAACTAAAGAATTATAAATAGAGGGCAGAGTTAACTGTGCTTCAGAGTTAACTCCTGGAATAAAAAAAGCTTTTCATTTTCTCAAGATGCTATGGAAGCAATGTCTTTTTTAAGGAACCAGTATATCTGCTTAAAGGTGTTTCTAACTTGCTGGGAGAACCTCCTTATGCTGGATCTACTCCTACCTTCCTGGATTCTAGCATCCTGACTTGACTTCCTATATCAACCACCTTCTGAAACCTGTCTTCTACCTGACCTGACTTACTTCTCTGCCAACCACCTGCCCTACCCGGTGCCTACTTTGATATTGTCTATCATCTGTGCCTTCTGCTCACCCTTGACAAAATAGCCCAACTCTATGGCTCTTTCTCAAGAGCCGACTGTTACTTAGCACTGATACACCTCTTACAGAAAATAGCATCCAGTATATGAGATTGGACCTGTTAGTTTGAGAGTAGTGTTATATCTTAAACCTTTCTCAGATCTTTAGAATGCTTACTAACTGGGACTTAAGGTATTTTTGACTAGGGCTCTCTGAAGACTAAAGTTAAGATTTTAGGGGCTCCTGGGTGGCTCAGTTGGTTAAGCGTCTGCGTTCGGCTCAGGTCATGATCTCAGGATCCTGGGATCTAGCCGGGTCAGGCTCCCTGCTCAGTGGGGAGTCTGCTTCTCCCTCTCCCTCTGCCTGTCCCCCCACCTTGTGCTCTCTCTGAAATAAATAAAATCTTAAAAAAAAATAAAGATTTTAAAAGTGGAATAGTTATTATCACTTTTTTTTCCCTGTACTGGTCTGGCCAGTAGTACATACTCAAGTATTTGTTGATTGTATTATAGTCACCAAATTCCATATTTAATTCTCTTTGGTGTCACTAACAAAAGCCATTCAGCAGCCTTTATTTCTGATTTCTTATTACTATGTAAAGCACTCTTAAATTACTTTCTTTATCCACAAGCTAGCAGAATATTTTATAGCAGCAATAAATATGATTTAAAACCAATGATACTGCTATAGAAAAACCAGATTTCTATTTACTGTTAAACACTAATTCTACTTAAGTCAAATAACATACTTAGAACTTACGTGTTGATTAGCAGTACAATGTGTGGCAGATTCACTTGATATTAAAATACTAAATTGACTAGTTTCTGTCTATATAAATAAGGTTGAAATCGGTACATTGTAGTACCTGAAAAAATTATTTTATATACACATTGTAGTACCTGAAAAACTTAATTATTTTATATATAATATACTGGTATAAATGAAATAAAATTTATGTGGCACTGAGCATTAACTTCCTCCTGATATTATGATTTTTAAAAAAATATTTAAATATGTTTAAAAATTAATATGAAGAATGTTGACAGTGTGTTTATTTTTATGTGTAGTTTGTGTAATCTATTTCACTATTTTATAGTTGTGGCTTCTATATTATCAGAAGTTTAAAAAAACTCCTAAGACATAGTAGGATTGCATCTTTGTTTCAGAATTCACTGAAATGGTATGTAGTGTTTATTTTAGAGCAACTAATGATACAGTATGGGATTTTAGCCTTTTGTAAGCCTATAATCTTAATGTAGTTTCACCCATATGCAAAGAGAATATGATGTAAATAGTTACAGCGCTGAACAACATGCATGAATTATTGATTTACAGTGAACATGTACATTGAACCAGTGAACTCATGTGAGCATTTCTAACCTATGGGATATTTGTTTTACAGGAGAAAATAGAAGTAGAAATTATTTTTACAACTTGAATATGTAAATCCCCGTTATACCAATTCTTTTGCCAATTGTTACCACAAAATTGGCTAAAATTAATACTCTTCTGTCATAATAGATCAAGGCAATTTACATTTAGTTTTCTTTGTCTTTTTTATTTGTTTGTTTTGTTTTATTCTCTCCACTCCCCAATTATTTCATGGCATTTCAGTGCTTCAGAGAATTTAGATGAGCTCTCTTCCTCCAGTAGCTGGTTACTTAACCAGAAGCACAATAAGAAAAGGAGAAAAGACAGGACAAGATTGAAATCTCCATCCTTGGCTATCATGAGTACAGCTGCTCGAACAAGGCCACTTCAGAGTTTCCACAAACGAAAACTCTACCGATTGAGCCCTACTTTTTATTGGACACCGCAGGTAAGGCTGCCTATGGGAAAACATGAACAAAGATTTTGTCATCAATGTATTTCACATACAAGAGGATATGGATTGTTCCTGATTATTTAGAATAATTACATTTAGAAAGCTTTAAATATATAGTTTATAAATGACATAGGTATTGACAATATATAAGTGGAATTTAATAAATTTTTTAACATGACAATGTATTAAACTCACATCTCCATTTTTTTTTAAATGCATTGTTATGCTTAAACTAATTTGAAGGAAAATTACATATCGTGGTGATTTTAAAATTTTACTGGTAAGGGTAATAAGGAAAATACAAGTGTACTACATATTTGTCTTGCTTAGTAGAGAAAAAAGTAAAAATCTGCATAGCTGCCAGTTACTTCGTAAGAAATGGCATCGCTCTCCTTTTTCGGTTTGGTATTTGTTAATCCTGGAGAGCATGTCTTTTCCTTTGTCTGGAATATAAGCAATGCAATTTTATATATCCATGCTTACACTTTTTACAATTAAAATGTACTTCATTAAAACCATGCATTTTAAAAAGCATATTTTTCATTTGTTAGCAGAATGTTAAATCTACATCTTTCAATACATATCTAAAACTGATAAAGGGCAAGATAAGTTACCTCTAGTTTTTGTTATATGACATGCTTTTTAGGAAAGTTTTTTAATAGGAAAATATTTTTATTTAAAATTTTTATATAAAAATCGTATTTTTAATGATTTTTATTTAAAGATGCTATAAGAAATAGATAAATAATACTTTTGAAATGGAGTGTAATTTCATAATTATAATAGAATTGTTTACCTAAAATATTGAATCTTATGAATATGCCATGATATTCTGACTGGAAGGAATTTGCTTGAATAATTTAGGGGATTTGTTAGCTGTTATTAGAATACTTTATATGCCCTGAGATTGTAAAGATTGGCCTTCATTCAGCAAACCAAGGAAGAAATGAGTGTGAGATTATTGTTACTAGTAGATCATATACTTTATCATATTCCAGTCATTATGCTAAGCATTTTCAGTGCATTGTTTTATTATTATCTCAAAATATAATTGTGAGATGTTGTTAATCCCCCCTTGAGATGCAGAAATTGAGGTGCAGAGAGATTAAGTAATTTGCCCAAGGTCACACAGCTTGTAAGGAAAATGTCTGATTCCAAACCCCATGTTCTTACTCATTGTATTGAGAATGACAAAAATAAACCAAATCTTTTTTGTTTTTGAAATCAGTTAAGACAGTGTATTTGGGGGTTGGGGAAGGGGCTTATCTGGTTAGAGGTATTAAGATATGCATCATAAAATAAGGGCTTTGAAAGACAAACAGATTTTTGAAAGGTTGTGGGAAAGTTAGAGAATTTTAAGTATATAGGAATAGAGATGATAAAAATGATGGAAAATAACAGATGTCCTCACCCCTAACTTATCCCCCAAATTGCCAGGATATTTAGTTGCCAATTATTTACCTTTCTAAACTTAATAAATGTCCTTTCTCTCAGGAAGCCTTCCTTGACATCCCCACTATGGGATATTAATATAGCGCCTTGTTATAAAAATAACTCATTATTTTATAATTATCATTTATTTTTCTGTTTTTCTCATTACATTGTAAGTTCTTAGAGAACAGGGACTATGTATTTCTGAACCTACAGAGCTTTGCACAGTAATTGTCCCAATAGTATATGCTCAATAAGTAATTGTTTGATGTATGAAAGAATTAATGTAGTGGACACAGAAAGATATTTAAAAGGTAATGGAGAGTGAGAATTTACAAGTTGTGTGTGTGTGTGTGTGTGCATGTGTGTCCTCAATTCACTTCGTGAAAAGATCTATAACAGTAAGTAATATCTAATAGAATTTTCTTGTAAGGATGGAAGTGTTCCATAAATACCTGTGCTATCCAATACAGTGGTAACTAAATACATGTAGCTATTCAGTACATGAAATGTGGCTAGTGCAACTGAGGGACAGAACTTTCTATTTTATTAATTTTGATTTAAATAGCCACATACGGATAATGGCTACCATACTGGATATGACCACTCTAGACTCATACTTACCCTGAGAGCAGTGAGTACATAATGGTACTCATTCTTGTTTTCTAATACCATTCATTCCCTGTTGAAAGGAAATAGGGGTGTTTGAAAAAATGGCTGATCTCCAGATGTGGGGAAGAGAGGGTATAAGATGAGCTTGGAACATCTCAATGTTACCAGAAGGCAAGGTAGTGTTAAAAAAAATGATGGGGGGGGCATATCAAAAAACCCAGAAGCTAGTTTGAAGAGGCTGCCACTGGCCAAATTTAGGGCTGTTTGAGCATCTAAGGACAGTAATGAACCATTGAGAAAAGGAAACCATGCATCCATACTGCTGACAGTTAAATTGATAAAAAGGAGAAAGGGAGGACTTTCCCATATAGTAGAATGCTGATTAATAAATATGGAGTGAGCACAACTACAGAATTATTGCAGTGATCATGGTAAAGACTGATTAGTAAAGAATCATCAATGAGTGATCAAAACTAACATAGCCTATGAGAAGAAGAATACAGTTTCAGTATGCCATATTTTGGCCAGGGATGGATGGCCGAATTTAATTATAAGAAAATATCAGACAAAGCCATAACCAGCAGCATGTTATTAAGAAACAGTGAAAAGGTGGCCTGTCTTCTTCAAAAAGAAAAAGTCAATGTCATGAAAGTCGAGAAAGACTGAGGCAGATTGAAAGAGACCTTAAAAAGATGTATGACAATTAAATGAATATTTGATCCAATCAGAATTCTTTTAGGGGGGAGAGGGGATTCTTGGGACAATTGAGAAAACTGTGCCTTTGGTGGTAGATTATATAAAAGTATTGTATCAATGTTGAATTTTCTTTTTTTAAAGATTTTTTATTTATTTATTCATGAGAGACAGAGAGAGGCAGAGGGAGAAGCAGGCTCCCAAGGAGCAGGGAGCCCGATGCGGGACTTGATCCCAGGACCCTGGGATCATGACCTGAGCCAAAGGCAGACGCTTAACCGTCTGAGCCACCCAGGCGCGCAATGTTGAATTTCTTAAATGTGATAACTGTTTTGCCATTATGTAAGAATATGTCCTTATTTTAGGAAGTACACATTGATACATTAAGAAGTAAAGTGGCTAAGGCATCCATTTTATTTATTTTTAAAGATTTATTAATTATTTTAGAGAGAGGAAGAGGGAGAGTGCAGGGGTGTTGAGGGGCAGAGGGGGAGAGAGAGAGAGAGAGAGAGAGAGAGAGTCTTAAACAGACTCCAGGCTGAGTGCAGAGCCTGGCACCTGGCTTGGTTTCAGCTCAGGTTATGATCTCAGGGTCGTGAGATCAAGAGTCGGATACTTAACTGACTGTGCCACCCAAGTACCCTAAGGCATCGTTTTATGTAATAAATTAACTCCTATGCTTGTGGAATGGTACTAGTTATGTAGCATCCTTGGTAGAATTGAGAAAATAATAATTTAAATTATTTTCAATAACGCTTAACTCTCTAGCAAAGTACTGGCTGAGAAAAGCTTATATTAAAGGCAATGGAGAGGTGGGAAGTTCTGCTACAACGTAGCATATAATAATTAGCTGATCATCACTGTCATTGCAACAAGTACATGTATAATTGCAGGAAAAAAAAATCATCATCCTAGTATACTAGTAAAGACATTAGTAAGACGTCTGGTTTCAGCTCCAACACATAAAGAGAAGTCATCACTTCTACCCTTACAATAAGAAAAAGTGAACAAACTGAAAATCCGTGCTTTTCATGGACCCATCAAAGAATTGAGGTTACAGTACAAACTGCCACCCTGAAATATGGGCAGAAAAGTAACTCCAGAGAGCCACAGCCAAGATGTGCATACTTGGAGCAGAAGCCACAGCAACCATAAACTTAACTGGTAGGAACACTTAACTGGTAGTTTTGATGAATTACTGGGGGCTGAGTATAGACTAGACTAGCTTGAGAGTGAAAAACTCTTGGGGACTATAGTCTTAAAAGTCCCTCCACACATTCATGGACTTTACTTCTAGGCACCCCATTATCTTCTCACAATGAAGATCCTCAGTGGCTGTGGTGTGGAAGGGGAAGGGATAACTTTTATGAAATGAACCCAGAAATTGTAACACAGCTTTTTCTTCCAGGGAAAAGACTTTAGTGAAGTCTTAGCTTACCTGTGAGAAAAGCACTTTTTCCGCTGCTGCCCCCTGTAGCCTTTCTGTCTCACCTAACGGGCAGTGAGGGTGGAAAATAAGAAACATTTGTTGAAGTCACAGACCCACTAAAAGACTAAGATTTAATCATAAGATTATAGTATATTTTATATAGTATATATATATATTATATAGTATATAATAATCATAATTATTATATAATTATGCTACTGTGGTAGGTATGCTTCCTTTCTTTTTCTTTTTTTTAGAGTAGGCTCCATGCCTAACATGGAGCATCAACTCACCGCCCTGAGATCAAGAGTTGTAGTCTCTACTGACTGAGCCAGTCAGGCACCCCTGGTGTGCTTCCTTTCCTCCTCCTTTACCACCACACCAACAAGATTCTGGTACTATTAACAGTAGGTTACAGCTGCAAAGTATAGACTGTGAGGAGCAGTGATTAAGGAAGTTAAAAGTCAACAGGGAAGACAAAAACAAAGATGCTAGAGGAATTTTGAGTCCTCTGGCCCTTAAAAATATAGCAGATATTATACACAGCCCACTCCTAGCCATATTAACATAATGCCTCACAATAAAATTCTTTTTACCTCGGGGTGCCTGGCTGGCTCAGTCAGAGGAGCATTCAACTCTTGATCTCCGGTTGTGAGTTTGAGTTCCATGTTGGGTGTAGAGATTAATTAAAAAAAAGATTCTATTTACCTCAGATCCTGTTCCCAGATACATCATATACAGCTTTTAACAAAAAATTACAAGGTATGGTAGGAACTCTGAAGAGACAAGGAAACCATCAGAACCAGGCTCAAATATGACAAAGACGTTG